CATATGAATCGACCCATGTCAAGTGTGGCATAAGTAGGGGGACAACTTAGCCCCGTGCCGACTAGTCCCTCACCTGAATTTTCCTCACAAGCCACAATAAAACCCCAAAGAAAGGAATAAACGATAGATTTTGCTATTTTGAGATCTCTAGTGTCTAACTGCTACAATTCACATCATATCTCACTACCTTATGATTTAGACACATTTTTCCCACTTGATCTCGAATTAGCCTTAGTGTAGTTATGCTCGTTTGGCCTCTTGTTTGGGTTAGACTTAGACTCTGCTTATAGTTGTATATAGTTTTGTATTTTTTTTTATTATTCAGGCTATACTTGTAAAACTCCTGTGGTAAACCAAAAAAGTGAGCCAAAAAAAAAAAGACAACTATCCCTTTTCTAGTTTTGTTTTGTGAGTCAAAAGTAAATTGTTAAAAAAAACAATCACTTTACCCAAGAATTTCAATAAAATCTAGTGTGTAGTTTGTGTGCGTGAAATGTCGTATATATCCAAGTTGTTTGGAGAAGTCAAATTTTGGATCTTTCGTGAAATTTGAACCTTATGTTTGTGGTTCTAGTCTTTAGAAGATAATATGTTAAAAAAAAGAAAAAAAAAAGAAAAATGGTATCGAAAAGTCGGATATTATCGCAATCATAAAATGCGAGTGTAGTTATATATTTTTAGTGTTTTCCACTTTATGTCTTGAGTTATTGTATTTGTAACATGTATTTGGGGTTTTGTTGTCCAAATAATAATAATAATAATAATAATAATAATAATAATAATAATAATAATAATAATAATAATAAAATAATAATAATAATAATAATAATAAATAAATAAATAAATAAAAAGGGGCCGGGCCACGAAGTTGTATCCATTTGTTTGCTTTTGTAAATGTTTAGTTTTTCGGATTCTAGCTCACGTAATTAGTTTCTAGTTTGATGTTCTTCTAGTTAGATATCATTTTTGTTGGCAACTACGATGATGCTTTTTCTCATCACGTGCTCGATTCTTCACTTTATATGATCTTGTTTTGGTGGAAGCACTTATTCTTCTAGATGATGATGGTTTGCCAACCTTTGTACATAGCTCGTTCCTTGCCATTTTTTGCCCGAGTTATCTTTTTGCTAGATTTTATTTCTTGGCGTGGGGTTGAAGTTGTGAGGAGTGAGGATCATCCTAACCGAGGGACACTTTCTTATGGCTAGTAGGCTAGATCGGATCACGAAACAATGTCACATAAACCATACTAGTGAAGTATGCATGCTCGTTTTGCATCTTGATCAACATGTATCCTTTGCTAAGGGCGTGTCGTGAATTTCTACCTAAGATGTTCATTCTTTTTTGTCTTTTTAGGATAGTTCATCCCAAGTTCATTTTAGTCTTGTCTTACTTGAGGACAAGTAAGGTTCAAGCTTGGGGTGATTTGATAGTTTCATTTTATTTACTTCTTTTTATAGTTTATTTTAGCACATTCCATCTCATTTTAGTTAATCTTCAGGCATATTTTCTCTTTTTGTTATTTTTCTCCTTTACCGGGTGCTTTCCAGTCTTTTGAGCTTATTTGCAGGATTTATCGAAGACTATTTGTCATTGGAGGTGTGGAAGGAGTGCGGGACTTTTGGCAGCTTGCAGTTTTCTTATGGACTTGAAGTGGTGTGATTGGGCATGTTGTCAACATAATCAAAGGAGCAAGTTGGGCTTAATTTCTGAGCGAGAATGATGATGAGGCGACACGGACTCGAGCTATGGAAGATTGAAGGAGCATTGGACCAATCATTAGAGGCTTTGGAATGACACAATTGGGCTCTCAAGAGTTATGCATGTGGGCTGAAGTGTGAATGAGAAGATTGGGCTAGATTGTATTTTAAATGGCCCAAGTCCCACAATCAGCGAGACCCACGCGGTCCGCGTGGACCCACACGCGGTCCGCGTGAATCGTGCTGAATTGATCCCGGGTTTTGACTTCTTGACTCTATTTGTGGAAAGTTGGTGGGTAGCTTTTGTGCAACTTTTTGAATCCGGAAATGAGCCTTATTTGCTGGAGATTAGAGGCATTATTCTGATCCAACACTTGGAGAAAACCACTCTTTTGCTCTCAAGAACATTGGAAAAGAAGTTGAAGAATTGAAGATTGGTGTTATTTTCTTTCCATCTTTCACTTACAATAATGTTTGGTACCACTAAACTTTATTGTATTTCCTTTATTTTGGCCATGCTTGGCTAGATTTTCACTTGGTTGATTAGGGTTTAATCTCATGGATGATTGGTTGTTTTGAAGACTATTATTCCCTTGTGTTTGAAGTATATGGAAATGTTCTCTAGTTAAACTTCTTGTTATGTTTGTTTATCTTTGATCATGAGCTTGGATGAGTGAACATATATTTTTGTTGATCAATTTCTTGGTTAAGTAATGGACTTTGAGGTTGGTAAGCAACAAATGGTTTATATGTTTGTTTTCATTTCATTTAAACCATGGGAATGTTTCCTCCATAATGATAATGTAAGCATTTGATTATCTTATGGATTTGGCAACTCTTAGAACTCAAAGCTAATTGATTTTCACAAGATTACATGTTTCATTGATTTTGTGACTTTAATTAAGGGAATGTGTTAGAGCTTCTCTAATCATTTTAATATCTAAGAAGAGTTGAGGCAATTTGTGCTTATTAATTGCTATAGCCAAGTTAAACCAATTCACAAGTGTTATTATATTTAGTCTAATGATAAGTCAACCATGTCATCCATGTGGTATATCCCAAAATCAACCAATTTTACTTCATTGAATTCAACCAAAACTTTTACTTGTTTATTTGTCATATTTACATTCTAGCTAGTTTTAATTTTATCAAACAATCAAAAGAATTTAACCCCCCTGTTTTACTTTTATTTTTGTTTTACAAGTACTTGAACGAGTGATTTACATAGAGATTTAAATTGAACCAATCTCCGTGGATATGATCCCTTTACCACTGTACACTATTTTTGTGTGTAATATTTAGGGTATTTATTTTGTTGGCCTCGACAACCACCAAGTACAGACACTACGCGACATTGAGGTGAGTTACCTTCCAGTAGAAGTGGGTCTAAGGGACCAATGTCGGCCCACTAGTAGTTGTTTAGTGGAGACAATCGTCTTTGTGATAATTGTCTGGTTTGCTATTGCCTGATGTGTTCATATGTCAACATGATTATGATATGATATTATATGCTAGTAGTAGGGGTGAAATAGTCCCCGTGTCCGGTTGAGATAGACCGGAGGGTAGGTCGGCACCCCAGAATAGCCTGACATGGGTAGGTCAGCACCCCAGAACTGTCCGATAATATGTATGTTGTTTGGTATGTGGTATGATGGGGGAACTCACTAAGCTTTGTGCTTACAGTTTCAGTTTTGGTTTCAGGTACCTCTTCATCCAAGGGGAAGGAGCCGACGGTGTAGCAGCGCATCACACACACACATGATTTCCGCATTGAGTTTTCTGGGATTGTACTCTGATATTTTACCACTTAACTTTTATGCTGTTCGAGGCTTGCAATCTGTAAATTGGTGTTGAAACAATTTTACTTATGTTTTCTGTGAGCTATTTCTGAAGTAATATAATTAAACAAAAATTGTTGGGTCTTGATTTGGGGATGTTACACTTTGAGGTTTTGACTATGTCTGGATCCACGTATATAATCCTCACAGTTTCCCATGCATATTTTTTAGTTTTTTTCTCCACAATTGACGACAACGTACCCTCTAGGATTCCCGAGTAGATGGCGACGGTGTCATCTTACCCTTCTCGACTACATGCCTCCCTTGGATCGTTAGACTTAAGAACATTTCAGACGCCTTGTGCTTGCATGAACACACCTTGATCTTGATGGCCAAAGCAACATAATTGCTTTTGCACAAGCGAGAATATACCATCTTTGTTGTTTTTGTGCTTCCATTGCATCTTTTCGGGGTTGGATCTTTGGCATAAAACTGGTTTTGATACCAAGTATGTCCAACAAAACTGCTTTATCTTTGGATACAAGAAACAATCGTGAAACAGAGGGACAAAAAGGAACAGACAGACGAGGATGTAACTAAACTTGCTCTTTAAGTTTTTATTAAGAACCAAATAGAAAAACTAAAATACATAAATAAAAAATGTTAACCTCCATTTATACGAAAAAGAAATTAAAACATAGTCTAATACAAACAGATAAGACTTCAATTTAAATAAGGAAAGTTTCCAAAACAAAATAGATTTTGATTATCGTGAAGAATGCTTAATTCTAAACATGATCGTAAAATGGTAACTTTTTCCATTTAACAATATCATTCAAACATAGATTCATTTAGATCCGAACCATTAAGATTTAAATCATCCAAACCTCTAACTTAGTAATGGTTAATTACTCAACTTATTTTCTCGTGCTCATTGCTAAAAGATTCTACAACAAAATAATGTTTTTACTCAAAAGTATTTATTCTTTTGCATTGATGGTACGCATTATACTTCTAACATGCTTGAGTAACGCGTCAAAAACCATCACATAACTCAAAGTAGTGAAGTACCACTTTCGGCAAACCAAACAAAACAAAATAATCGAGACATCAAAGAGACTTTACACTTCTAGAACTGGGTAAAAACGTGTTATTGGGTTAATGAAAAGTCGTAAAAGAAAGTCAATACAAGAATTTATTAGGGTTTTTATTGCTGAGTCCCAAAAAAACAAACCCACATTCAATGCAGAACGCGGTTTTAGGGAGACGATGTACATGATGATGATAATTTCGCGACACATACACTACAGTAACAAGTGACAGGAGTGGGCCGGGGGGGTTGGGCTGACTTTAGCTTTAAGCTGCTGTTGCCCCCTGCGTACTACCCTAGCTGTGCCAGCATGCATGAGCTTTGAGTAAATGCACTCTTTGGGTCTTCGCTGTCACCTCCAACCCACCCCACTATCCCTTTTGACTCTTTAAGTCAGCCTCTCACTCCATTGTTTCTTTCTTTCTATATATCAATAACCTTACCCTCTTACTACCTGTGTCTCGCCTCTTTTTTCAATTCCCAACAAAACACAAACTTAAATCCTTCATATTTAGAGAGAGAAACCTTCAAAGATCAAAAAGCAAGAATTTTTGTTCAAAATTAGATCCAGAATGGGGAGGCCTCCTTGTTGTGATAAACTTGGTGTTAAGAAAGGTCCATGGACTCCTGAAGAAGATATCATGCTCGTTTCATACGTTCAGCAACATGGCCCTGGGAATTGGCGTCAAGTCCCTACTAACACCGGTATGTATAAATCTGTGTGTGCTTGTTCTTGTGTGTATATGTATATGTATATTTAGAGTGAGGTTGGTTAGTTACAGTAGCGATCCCGGAAATATTTTAGAGTTGTGGTGAAATTTACAAATCGATTATTCATTTCGTTTGTATTGCTTACAGGATTGAGAAGATGCAGCAAGAGTTGTCGGTTGAGATGGACGAATTATCTGAGACCTGGAATAAGAAGGGGGGATTTCACAGATGATGAGGAGAAAATGATCATTCAGCTTCAAGCTCTTCTGGGCAACAAGTAAGTTTTTTCAGAAACAACATATATCCATATACCTTGCTCTGACTCTATATGAGTAGCAAACAAATTTGGATTCTTTTGGTACAATATTCATAGGAAGGTTTTGTGTTTGTGTGGTTGCAGATGGGCAGCTATAGCCTCGTATCTTCCTGAAAGAACAGATAATGATATCAAGAACTACTGGAATACCCATTTAAAAAAGAAGCTCAAAAAGCTTGAAATGGGGTCCGAGGATCATGATTTTCTTCATACTAATAGTAAAGATAGGTTTTCGTCTTCCACGTCGTCATCATCTTCTTCACACTGTATTTCTAGAGGACAATGGGAGAAGAGACTTCAAACCGATATTCATATGGCCAAACAAGCCCTAAACGATGCTTTATCAATTGATCACAAACCGATTTTTCTACCTCAAGCTACTAAATCATCCTCTCACCCACCTGCATACCCCTCTAGTACTGATAACATAGCCAAATTGCTCAAAGGGTTCATGAAAAACTCAGCCATTTACACCAAAACTTGTTCAAATTCAAGCACTCGTGAATCAAGTGGTGAAGTCAATGCTCCTAGCAGTGAAAGCAAGAACAATTCTGGGATTGATTTATCTGAAGCATTTGAATCCCTTTTTGGGTTTGATCAATCTTTTGGATCTCCAAACAACTCCGACTTTTCACAATCAAACACCTCGCCGGAGGGAAGTATTTTTCAAGAGGAAAGCAAGGCGGAGCTTAGATTTACCATGTTTGAGAATTGGTTGCTTGAAGAAACAACCGGTGGTGTGGTTGATCAAGGGAAAGAAGATTTAAGTAACTTTTCGTTTGATGAAAACCCTAATTTTTTCGATAATTGATTTGTTTTCAGAAGCTTTTTATCATTCTTCGCGCGGTTATAGTATTAATCAATCTTGTTTAATTTCAATTTATTTTTTTTGGAGTTCGTTTAATTATTTGACATTAGATATGTAGAACTCAAATTGTATGAAGTCGCAATCAGTGATCTAATTATGCATTTGCATCAAGTGTTTGTCGATTTGGCAAATAATTAACTTTATCTCGTTTTTTCATCCTAATATTTCGGTTTTATTATTATTATTACTATTATTATTATTATTATTATTATTATTATCATTTCTTGTATTGTGGCCCTCACTAACATTGATCTTTATTAAAGACAACTAACCATTAATGCCTTTAGTGATCTTTATATAAGATTTTCTTATTTCGCTTTCGTGATTTTGCGAACTAATTAAGATTTGGTAAATGGTATGTGTTTTCAATGATACTCATATCATTATCGTTTAAGTGCTTGTATACATATTAATATTTCTATTCTATTAAATCCATGTTTTAGACATACATTAAATTCTGTTACAATATAAGAACATCTATAATATGGGAGTGTTTTACTTGAATTTTTTCCTGAAAAAACTAAAAATACAAAAAATCTTGTATATTTCAAAATATGTGAGTTTTTTCATTTTGTTTTTTATTTGTTAGTTTTTAGTTGTTGTATGGTTTTAATTGGTTAAAAATCGCAAAAATGAAAAGTGTTTGGTTAGACATTGCTAATTAACAAGTTATTAAAAGTCGCAATATATATTTTTCATTTTTCAAAAAAAAAAAATTTGTTTGAAAAAAACTTTTTTCATTTTTCAAAAAAAAAAATTTGTTTGAAAAAAACTTTTAGTTAAGTTGCTTGTTAATTTCATTGGTTCTTTGTTCCCTATAGTCGACAACTCTGTCAGGATTGATTCAATACGTATAAGACGAATTGCCTTAAGATGTATGGATCAAAAGAATAAAATCAAGGTTTATAAACTTAGGCGAAAAGTTTGAAATCTAAAAGAGTTAACAACGTATAACAAAATGCTGAAAGTTAGTGGTGATCTGAATATACAAGTGAACCTTTTCGTGGCCGTAAGCGCTTCTTCGAATCATATAACTTGTGGGTTTGTCTAATATTACTCTTCGATTGATAAATTAATTATCACAATACAATTGGTGAGAAGACAAAACGACAATAATTATGTTGCGTCGTTAAATCTTTTGTATGATAAAAACAAATTCTTTTGAAGTTTACATCTATAGACCTAGGGTTATAACATTGATATGCATGATCCGTTGTATTCTATTAAGATTCACCACCGCGTCCGGTGCAAAGAAACCACACGTCTCAAACGCAAATGGTATGAAAACGTGTTTATTTTCCAAGCGTGATTTCTTATGTTTTGTGACTTTGTATGTGACAGCTTTTAAAACAGCATGTCCGGCCTTGAAACTCTCAACCCTCAAACCCACTAGAGGAGATCCACACAAGCTTCTAATATGGAATGCTAATCTGGTTATGGCTCTTTCACGAAAAAACACCATTTTTTATCTCTTAATCTTGGTTTGCTCATCTTAATATGAATAAGACGACCATACTATTAAGTGATCCAAAAATCTATTGACCATCCAATAGAAATATCACCTAAAATAGATCAAGTTGAGCGAACAGGGAAAAAACATGAAGCAATTTAATATACACGAGATATATGAGTGGCTATGAGTTTGATAATTAACCTTTTGGGTTTAGTTTTTTTCTTTTCTTTTCTTTTTGTGGGAGTTTAATATATTAAATTATATTAATAAAATATAGAGAATGGAGAAGACAGTGAGGAGAATGAAGAAATATGTGAACAGAAAGGATGGAATTTAATGGCCTTCAAAAACCTGCAACTTCGGTCTTAATTGCGTACATGTGAAAGTGTTTTCATATTTATAGCTCTTTTAATAAAAAGATAATAATAACTATTATTTTCTAGGTAATTATTGTTATAATTAATTTTAATAAAATAAAACTGCTTTTTTGTATTTGTAGTTGCATCTATGACCTACCTACGAAAACTTGTTTTAATTATTAGTTTAACAGACAAACCGGTTATTTAACACATAATCTCCCACACAAAGTGTTTGGAAAATTTTGAAGGGTTTAATTTCTATTTAACTTGTTGGTAACGTTCTTTTGTATCATATAAATGGATGAAAGAACTTAACGAGGGATATGATAAAGTTTTTTTCACATATCGCTGTTAGGACCCGAAGAGCTAGGATTTGTATCGGATCGGATTAGACCAAAACCGGTTAGCATTGACCACACATTGATTTCACCTACAATCTTATGTAAGTTTATAGAATCATCCCAAAAACATAGGTTCATACACGACTTTACTTCGTCCAACTGCGTGACATGCGGCATGCCATAATACGATAAGTTTGTCGTCGTTATAAACGGTCCATGTTTTTTGGAGATCCTTGGATTTCTGATTAGTATAAATAGGACATCCTAGATCCCATTCATTCCACACCAAAACGAGATCTTGACTGTTCTCTTCTCTCACCACGAATTCAAGAAGGAAGTAGCTTGTTTTAGATTCTTTGTTCTGTCATGTTTTCGAGTATTCTCTTTATGTTTACTAATTCTTCCATAATTGTTAAAATGAATGACATCTCGATTAAATCTTGGGATTTTACATTCGTGCTTACCACCATGGAGTTTCGTAAAAACATTTAAGCGCTTGAGTACCTTTGTATAGGTGATAGTAAAAAATATACAATCTTAATATTGGTTTTATTTTCTGTTTCATCTTTTACTTTATTCAATAATGTGATATTTTCCTATTTTTCTTATAAACAATTTTGATTGTGAATGATTAATTTAATATGTGGGCGAAATTTGGTAATAATAATAATCTAATTTATTATTTGTCATGAGTTTACATTTAGTTCCAAATATTATCTCCCAGCTTGTTTTCTTCTTTTTTAAACAATTGGATATTTAATAATTAATATTAATCATCTACACAATTGGTTTTGATGTTACTAAATGGTCCGACATTAGTCCACGATACAAATCGTCGGATTGTTTAATTGTCACGTCCGAATTACAACCATCTTAATGGTTTTTAATTTAAATAAGTTTCACGAAAATGGATACTGAAATCTCTTCTGCCAACTTTTGACTTGTGAATAAGGAGTTTGCCAAAAATGAATCATTTTGACGATTTGAACTACATTCATTAGGCTGGCAAGGTCAAGTTTATGCTTGTCGTGCTCAAGCTTATGTTATGGACCCAAACATGTCCCCCATTCCAACTGATCTTTTACCTGAAATGGGAAAGGAACCAAACTGAAAACCAGTTTTTTATTTGGAGAAGCTAAGGCTTCTTCGCAAAAAGGAAAATTAGTTATGTCTTAGTCGTATAAAGAATTTCCTAACCCGACTGCCTTTATGATCTATACACATCATTCATAAATCCTAGAGAGCATTGGAAGGCGTTTGAGCGCTTAAGTAGAAGGCATACGAGGAAGGTACCGACACGTAACAAGTGTCCAAGTAATTAGACTTCCTACTGGTCGACGAAATGTCCATCTTGGATCAAGTGCATGAGCTCCAAGTCTTAGTCAACCAGTTGACCACACTTTCCATCTCTCTACTGGAGCGCTTCCAGGTGGTAGCAATTTTTTCAAAGTTGTCACCCTCCTACCAATACTTCTCTTATAGTCTTGTGATAAGTGATAATACCATTGTTGCTCTTTCCGATAACAATGATGTAACTACTTCTACTGTAAATGAAAATATGTTTTCTGGTTATTTCGTTTGTTCAATTTATTCATGACATAAACGTATAATACATATAGATATCAATAATATTAAAACAATACAAACTAAAGGTATGATAAAAATAAATGATAAAGAATTTGAAATATTCAAAACCTTTCTGAAATTGAAGGTTACAAAGAAACATTATCCAAGCGTAAAATATGTTACTACATTTCTAGAATTAGGTTGTTCGGATATCTATGAACTAAATGGAATATTGATGCGAGGAGGTAAGAGATATTTCATAACATTTTATAGACTTAAGCCATTATTTAAATGTAAAAGATGAAGCTTTTGATACATTTAAAGTGTATAATACCAGAGGTAGAAAATCAACATGTAAAACACATACAAATGTTTTTCTCAAACGGAGGCATAAAATAATTCAATCTAGAGTTTGATACATTTCACGATGACTATGTTGTCAAACATGAAATAACTTCACCTTTTACTGCCTAATTGAATTATCTAGGTGTAAGAAATGGATAAGACCAAATCAGGTCTACTAAAAAAATATATGGGGAAGCATTATTGACCGCTTTCTATGTATATAATATGATCACTAGTCATTGTTTCTTATAAGTCATATTAAGTTGTGTAAAGGAAGAAAATAACACTTGATTGTAAATGATCCAAATTAGGAGCTCAAGCTATTCAAAGTATATTCATTAGATATGCTCAAAATAAAAACGCCTACCAATTGTTGGACAACGAATCATGTGTTGTCGTAGAACCTAGATTCAAAAACAAGTTTTCAAAAGATGATGAAGACTCAAACCTCATAAAATATCAAAGTAGTTTTGTGAGATAACATCTGACCTTATAAAATTATAGAAGAACCAAGGAGATGTACAAGGGATATAACAGAGAAGAATCGGGGAAATTATTTTCTTTTTTATGTGGTTGAAAGGGACTCAAAATAAACTAATGATATATATTATTTTCTTTATTAACTTGAATGATGATCCTTAAACCATTAATGAACCGGTGTTTTGTAACACCCCCTCTTTGGCATGTAGAATTCTTCTTGATCTGGCAAGCTTAACCGTAGAGTTCCTATTTGATATGTTGCCCTCACAACTTTAAAAGGTGTTGGGATAGAGAATGTAGCTACATTCTCTATAATATATGCTTAGTTCTATTTCCCAACCGACGTGGGATCACATGCAAAGTAGTCACCCACCTTTACCACCTTTACGGGGTTCTATGTTTCCGTCAAACATATCGACCCATGACCAAGCTGTAATACAAAATTGTAACTCCCCGTTTGTTCGGGTATTTTTAAAAATATTCATTTAAAAAAATTTAGTTTTAAAATAAGAAGTTCCATAGTTTAAATGTTTTACAGATAAAAATGGTCCAAAAG